TTATCCAGGTTCTGAATGATAAAATCCTGAGGAAATAAAAAAAAGAAGGAGTTATGGCCTTTGGAGTACTCTGGTTGAATTGAGTTCCTTATGGCCTTAGGGAGAGAGAAGAGAAGGAGAGGATCCAAGAGAGCCAGGAGGCCCTGCCCAGGAGGCCAGGCCTTCTCTGGCTGTGCAGTACAGGGTCAAGGACATCCCTGTGAGCCTGCTGTTTGTCTGCATCCATTCAGGTTGCTACAATGAAATACCACAGACAGGGTAGCTTATAAACAACACACATACTTCTCACAGATCTGGAGGCTGGAATCCCGGATCAGGGTAGGAGCATGATTGGGCAAATCCCTCTTTCTGGGTCATAGCTGACTCCTTCTGGCTGTGTCCTCACATGATGGAAGGTGGAGTAGCTGTTTGGGGTCTTTTATAAGAACACTAACCTGATTTATGAGGGCTCCACCCTAATGACCTAAGCACCTCCCCAAACCCCCAATTCCTAATACCATCACCTTTGGGAGTTAGAGTTTCAACATGTAAATCTGGAGAGGACACACACATTCAGAACATAGCAATGTTCAATATATACGGAAGTGATTTCTATCCATAATCATAATGAATTCTCATCTTAGACTCACTCCCACTCTCTTATGCACTAAGAGAGGCTATTCTTCGAACTTATGCATGAGTAAACTTTTTGCATATTGAATCCTTTTCTTTTCACAACCTCAGAGATTCTTTCACATATTTTATTCCACTATTTTACTTAATACCACTTCTCTATTAGTTAATAATTTATAGCCCAGCTGATGTGGCTTAGTGGTTGAGCATTGACCTATGAACTAGGAGGTCAAGGTTCGATTCCCAGTTGGGGCACATGCCCAATTTGAGGGCTCAATCCCCAGTGTGGGACATACAGGAGGCAGCCGATCAATGATTCTCTTCATTGATATTTCTATCTCTCTTTCCCTCCCACTTCCTTTCTCTGAAATCAATAAAAAATATATATATTAAACATAAATAAGTAATTTATAAAACATTTTCATGTTAAAATAATAAACTGATATTTCAGGCTGAAATACTTTCATCTCTCCACTCAACTCCCACATATTATATTTTAAATGTCTTCATTTATTTGGGGGGAGTTTAGTTTTATGGAAGCAGGAAGAAGGTGTGAAATGTAGAGGCTTAAGTAGCCTTTCCTATTTCATTGAAAGCCTTTTGCCACAGCACCAATATGCTAAAACAATGAAAGCATCCTCCTTAGCCAAGATAGGTGTACAAAACCCAGGCAGGATTGCTTGGCTCATTATCTATTAGAACATACCTGCTCTTCCTTCGTGTTGATCACCAGCAGGTGAGAATTCATTGCTGAGCAGCTGTTGTTACTCTCCGTCCAAGTTTTGGTGTCAGTAGAAATAAAGTAGCAGTTCAAACTAAATGGCTTCCAATTCTTTGGACAGCAGCTCCAATCTCTCTCTGTATTGACCGAAGAACATGTAGGTGCAATATAAGAAAAGTAATTTACAAAATGTATATTACAATTGAGGATCAAGGGGAACCACACGAAAACCAAGTCAGACTTGGAAAGGCAAATACCATATGATTTCACTTACATGTGGAATCTAAAAAACAAAATAATAAAAAAATAGAAACATACAATAAAAAATAGAAACATACTCATAGATACAAAGAACAGACTGGTAGTTACCAGAAGGGAAGGGGATTCGGGGGCCTAGTGAAAAAGATGAAGGGATTAAGTATTATAAATGGGAAGTTATAAAATTATCCTGTGGATGTAAAGTACAGCATAGGGAATATGATCAATTATATTGTAATAACTGTGTATGGTGCCTAGTGGGTACTTGAAATATTGGGGGGATCACTTTATAAAGTATATGATTGACTAACCACTATGCTGTACACCTGAAACTAATACAAAGTGATATTGAATGTAAACTGTAATTGAAAAATAAAATTATTTTAAAATTAAATAAATAAAAATAAATAAATCTAGACTCATAGAAACAGTGAATACAATAGTTGTTGTCAGAGGCTGGGGGTGGAAGACGGGGAGATGTTGGTCAAAGGGTATAAACTTTCAGCTCTAAGATGAATAAGTTCTGGGAATCTGATGTACAGTTTAGTCACTATAATTAATAAGACTGTATTACATAATTTACTTTTTTGACTGTATTGCATAATTTAAAGTTGTTAATAGAGTATATTTTAAAATTTACTATCACACATAAAAGGTAACTGTGTGAGGGGATGGAGGTAATTAACCTTATTGTGGTGATCACTTTGAAATGTACCTGTATCAACTCATCACACTGTAGTCCTTAAACTTACATGTCAATAATATCTCAATAACTCTGGAAAAAAATTAAGGAACCACTTGGAAACTGGAACTCCCATCTTTGTCCAGAGGTAACAAGGAGCCTCACCCATTAGATATCAAGGTCAAGTCTATCTACATCAGGCAGTACAAAGCAGGGCCACCTTATTCCTTCCAGAATGGTGTCAGGAAAAGCCAGCTAAAACAGAAGGTTGAATTAAAATTTAGATGCTCAGAACATAATACAAAAATGTCCAGATTCCAAGGGCAGATTTCAATGGAAAAATCTAAGAACTGCAAAGTTCTCATAATTAATTTCAAAAAATAATAAATGCATGCCAATACCAAGAAAACAGAAATATTAGAATTGTCTGACCAAGATTTTAAAGAAACAATGACAAAGATGCTATAACAAGAAAGTACAAACATGTTTGAACCAAGTGATAAAATAGAAGGCCTCAGCAAAAAAATAGAAAATCTCAGCAAAGAACTTAAAGATATAAAACAGAAACAAATGGATATTTATAATTGAAAAATATAATAAGCAAAATAAAAAGCTCAGTGGATGGGCTAAACAGCAGAATGTCGAGAGCCCAGAGAAATCAGTAATTTGAAAGACAGAATACAGAGACAAAATAAACTGGGGGGAAAACAACATAAATAAATAGACTTCCAGTTTTCAGTGGAGCATGTACGAGGCTCCGTTGGAGGAGGTCATCAGGAGGATATGACTGCCAGTTGACCTGTGAGTTGGACCCAGTCAATCAGAGGCTCCTTGCCCCTCCCCTGTCTTTGGAATGTGCATTCCACTTGCCCCTTACTTACTAGAAGCTGCCCCAAGGACATAGCCTTGAAGTAATAATGTGGTATTGAGACCCTTCTGGATGGTATACTGGACCCATTTAAAGGCTCTATATAAACTTAACATTTTTTGGGGGGGCGGGGGGAGTGATTCACTCGTATTGGTGCCACTCAAGATAAGCCCCATCGGTAAGTTCCCTTGCTCATTAAAAGTACCATCTATAGCCTAGCCGGTTTTCCTCAGTGGCTAGAGCGTTGGCCTGCAGACTGAAGGGTCCTGGGTTTGATTCCAGGGTTGTGCCAGAGGTCAATCCATATGTCTCTCTCACATTGATGTTCCTCTCTTTCTGTCTTTCCCCGTTCCTTCCACTCTCTCTCTCTAAAAAAAGGTAAAAAAAAGTACCACCTATCATTTGGAGTGCTCTGCCTTTTTCTTAGAACTTTCCTTGCCCTCCATGTAGGGGGGTCAGTTTACAAACTAACAATTGGCAAGCCAGTCAGAAGACTGAAGAAATGGGCCTTAGGAAAGAGACTTCCATGGGGGGAATTCCAAGTCTGACATTGACCTCTATGTGGGGAGAGGTAGCCCCCATATCAGATGCTAATGGACAGCCACATGAGTATGAGGACACTCTGAAAATACAAGCTAGTTTGATGTGCTTGTTTGATGGCAAAGAAGGGAAACAAATGGCTGCCGCCATGGGCTGGCCTCTACTCTGGGCAGTTAGGCTGGCAACCAATGTCCAGCTAGAGTCTGAAGCTGGAGCTAGAAAGTTAGAAGAAAAGCTAAAGTTAGCCCAGCCAGCGTGGCTCGGTGGTTGAGTATCCACCTGTGAACCAGGAGGTCACGGTTTGATTCCCAGTCAGGGCACATGCCAAG